GGTGCGCAGGCGCCAGCAGTGCCAGCTGCTTGCGGAGGGCCAGCACGGCCGCCCGGTGCTTCTCCACCTCCTCCACCACGCCACGGTGCTTCCGCAGCAGCGCCTGGGTGGAGTAGTCGTCATGGCCGAAGTCGTCGCTAGACACGATGCGGTAGGTGTCCTGCAGCCAGGCCACCAGGTCGTCCGTCTCAGCGCTGAACTGGAAGAAGTTCAGGGCCTCTTGCAGCCGCTGTTGGTGCAGCCCCGTCACCTCCTCCAACTTCTTCCAGCGCAGGCGCACTTCCCGGATCTTCTCCTGGATCCCGCCGGGGCTGAAGCGCTTCTTGGCCAGGATCTGCTCCCCTCGCTTCATGGTCTGGTGCAGCAGTGCCCGCCGGCTGCCCAGCTCGCCCAGCATTGTCTTGTGCTTGCTGGTCAGCGTCAGCACGCTGCTCAGGTCCCGGCCGCACGTTTTGGCGGCCAGGATCTGCTCCTTCTCACGGATCCACGCCTCGGCCTCCTCCATCTCCTGGAAGAAGGCCCAGAGCTGGCGGGAATCCTCCAGCTCCTTGCGCCTCTTGCCCGCCAGCTCCCCCAACTCCTCTAGGCACGTCTGGACGTGGTTCACCCGGTTGCAGATGATCTGAGGGTCGCAGGGCTGGTAGCCTGGGCCAGGGAACCAGCTCTTAGCAGGGAGAGTCTGCAGTGCCTGAAGCCCCCGCTTGACCCCTCCTGCATCCCCTGGCTGCACCGGGGCCCCTGTGTCCAGCTGGCCCTGGCCGCGGCATCCCACATTACCCTCCAGCTCTGAGAACTTGAGGGCAGCGGTGTTGAGTGCCTGCACCCGCTCGGTCTGCGCAGAGATGTCGGCCTCCAGCAGCCCATGCTTCTGCAGCAGGTCCTCCACCTCTAGCAGGTGCTTCCCAAAATCCTTGGAGACCAGCAGCACCTGGGGAAAAGGGATGAGGCAGCAGGGTCTGGAGCTGCCTGGCGCTGCCAGGGACCCCTGTCCTCCTAGTGGGACCTTGCGTGTCCCTGGCCCTACCTGCATCTCCTCCATCCAGTCGATCATATAGACCATCTCCTGGAAGATCTTCTGGAGGGCCAGGTTCTGCTCAAGGCGAGCCCGGCGGGCGCAGACCAGCTCGGCCAGCAGCCCCCACTGCCGTAGGATGTTGTCCTTCTGGGCGCTGATGCGCTTGGTGTCGTAGTAGCCCTCGGACTCCATCTCCAGGGCCAACTCCACCACCACCTGGATGCGCTCCTGGTAGGAGGAGATGTCGGCCTCGATGGCCTCGTGCTTCTTCATGGCGGCCTCCACTGCTGGCAGGTCATAGCCGAAGTTGTCCTGGGGATGTGGGAGACGGTGGTGTCGGGTAGGGTGGGAACCCAGGAGTCCTGAACCTCAAGGAGGTCCCATCACCCTCCCCGAGCCAGGGAGGGGACCCAGCTGTCCTGGCCTGGGGCAGGGGTGGGGTACTGAGGCCCCCGGCCCACCTGCGACACCAGACGCTGGTTCTCGTTCAGCCACGTCGCAGCCTGGTGGTCGAAGCGCTGGGCCAGGAGCTCCAGCTTCTCCTGCCGGATGAGCTCATTGCGCAAGGACACTTCCCGCTCATGCTCGGCTTTCTCCAGGCAGGTCCAGGCCTGCGGGGCGAGAGCCAGGCTCGGAGAGGGTCCCCCAGCCCCCCCTGCCCTGCAGGGCCTCCACCCCATCCCGCTGAGACCCAACCAACTCGTTTCACCGCAGCGTCCCAAAGATGGTGACGGACGCAGCGGCTCACCCCAGCCTTTCAGGAGACGCCCAGCCCTGCTCCCAGCGGCACCTTGTTGATGTCGGAGATGCTCTTCCCCTCGCTGGGCACGTAGAGCTTGCGGTTGTTGGCCCGCAGCTTGCTCTGGATGGTGAAGAGCAGCACCTCCAGGTTCCCCTTCTCCTGGAACCTGCGGGAGCAGAGCCCCCGGTCGGTATCAGCCCCGGCCCTCGTGGGCCCCCGTGAACCCGGCCCTGAGCCCCCAGCGCTCGGGAGGCACCGTGCTCCGTGCCGGCCCTCCCCGGCCGCGCCCGCTCACTTGACGGGTTTCTCCAGAGTGCAGAAGGCGGTAAAGGCTTGGAGCTGCTGCTGGACCCCGGCCAGGGAGTTGGCAAACTTCTGGTTGCTGATGATGGTGATGGTGTGCTGGATCCATGCCAGCAGCTCGGG